AATTTCTGATGTCAATAAATCTTAATTCATATGGACAGTTTGTTTTCTTTACAATGATTTGCTTAAATTGAGAAGAAGAACCCAGCATTGATTTTATTTTCCATTTTGCAGTGTTTAAATCACGAAGAATTAAATTTAAATCAAACTTTCCCGAATTAAAACCTATGATATTCACTTTATTGAATTCCTCATCTAGAAGTTCTTTAAATGCTTCCTTCTGTTTTTCATTTAATGTATGGGACAAAGTCCCCGCCGTTTGGTCCGTTTGCGGCTTCATTAATTCTTCATATTGTTCAATATTTGATTTAGCAACTAATGAACAGGTTGAAAATAAAAATTCAATCCAATCAGAGATGAACGAATCACTTGATGTTAAGCAAAAATTCCTCGTAAATGTTTTATCACGGTCTACGACCTCGCCGCTTCGGTCTGAAAGACCTTCAGGACTCAAAGAGTCCGTTTGCGGCTTTATTTTGACAGTTGATGATACCATAAATGGTTTTAAGTAAGCGTTCAAAGTTGCACATTCAGAAAGTTGAAGTTCTTCTTTAGTCTCTAATGTTTCAAAGTCAAAAGTAATATAATATCTTGTTGGTTTATAATATTCCTGCAAATTGTGAGCTAATAGCCATTGATATATCTTCTGTTTCGTGATATGTGGTGCATATGTGTGTTGTGTGTTTTGCAATTGAACGTCTTGAATTAATCTTCCATTATTTTCTTTACATTTCTCACAATGTTTTAAAAATCTTCTTTGGTTTTTCCTTTCTGGGTCATCACGGATAGAATATACTTCTTCTTTGCAAAAGGGGCAAACTTTTATATCCTGTGAGTGCTTCAACGTCTGTAATTCTGTCAGCGTGAAGTTTTCCACATGGACTCTGTGTTAATAAAATATTTACTGTTTCAAATTCTGGATCTATCATTATTGATTCCACTAATGGAAAGTCTACCTTATTTATGTCTACGTCTTCTGGTTGAGGGTCACAATAATAAAAATCAATATTAACGTTTAACATTCTTGCTAACCTCTCACTTTCTGATGAAATGTCAAACCCTTCATATGAATCTATGGCTTCATTTAAATAACTTCTACGAGTTTTAGGATTAACACCATCAGGAATGTTATAGAAGCGTTTAAATAACCTTCTACCTTCGGCTCTTATTTGATTATCATTCATTTTAGCTGTTCCGTTTTTGTTCATTTATGTAAGAATAAAAATTAAAAAAATAAATAAAAATAAAGTTTATTTTTTTAAAGTCCAGGGCTAAAGTCCATAAAATGAATTAAGAACACATAAATTTTTATCATCTGCGACGTGACGAATACATTTTAATTTACTCAAGAATGCGTACCCTGATACATTAAATCTAATTCCTGTCTTATTTAATTTCACAACTTTGAAAAGGAATGTATGAATAGCTATAAAATGATGAGATGATGTTTTATGGGTTGCTTCCATTTTTTCTGAAATAAATGAATAAATATAATGTTTATAAGTTTTCATATCTTTTATATTCTTAATAACGAATGGTATAGACCTTTCAACTTCGTCTTCCTTCGGTGCTGTTCTTTCATATGAAACATTATTAGTATCTTCAATAATGAAACCACAATCGCATAAAATTTTATATGTACCAATTGTTTCTTTTGATATTTTATCTAACAAATCAAAAACTTTATCAACACCTGTACATTTATTTAAATAATAATTTTGTGTAAATATCATGGTCTTCTTTCTTAATCGTATTTGTTGCATATGTTACATTTTTCAGTGCTTTTTTGAATTTTTCAGAATCAAGAGGAGGTGAAAGTAATATACATGGATAATCTCCATCGTCAATAAATTGTAACTTATGTTTATGAATAAATTTTGTGCCTTCTTCTGAAAGTGTTTCATCTATTTCACCATCTAATAAATTTTTAGTAGATTCCAAAAAGTAATTTTTATATCTTTCTTCATGAGATTTTTGAACTTCTGATTCTGAAGCTGGGATATTCATTAAACCCTCTACTTCATTCTCATTATATTTTTCAACTTCTCTTAATTCCTTAATTTTTTCATCTATTTCATCTCTTATTTTTTCCAGTCTTTCAATTTCATCATATTCATCATCTTTAATCCGTTCTTCATAATATTCAGGGAAAACATCAGGTTCTTTAGGTTTTTCTTCTTCAGATGTGGGATATAAGAAATTTATAACATCATCTTTATTCATTTTTCCATCATAATCTAAATCATTTAATAACTCCGCGAATTTTTGACAATTTCTTAAATAATATTTATTAACTTCATAACTCGCCTCCTCTAATATATCCTTTATTTCCTCGTTTGTGAATCCTAATTTTTTAACGTCGTTAGTCTTGACACTCATTTTCTTACGAATTAAAAAAATAAATTATTCAAAAATGTAAGACATGAATTTTTAAAGTTTATTTTTTTTATTTTTTTTTATTTCATTATGGTAGTGAATCTTTCATTCATGAATGATAATTATATCTGATTTCTTTTACTCTCTCATACATACTAGATTTGAAGAATTCAGAACATTTCCCATAATCTCCTAAATGTTTTCTTATCCCTAACGTGTGCCAGTTATTATATGAAACTGTATAAACTTTATCTTTATCTTTACACCTTTCATCACTTCCAATATATTTATATCTCAGTTTTGATTTAGCATTTTCATATTCATTAGCGTTTAATAATTCGCAGTCTTCCTTTTTAAATTGATGTTTAAGATATTCAGGATTTAATACTCTACGTTTATATGCTCCTAACTTAGTTCTAAAGGTTTTTCTACAAAATTTAGGAATTCCATCCTCTTTAATGTCATCAATGATTTCCATTTCATTATTTTCAATTTCTTCTTCCCGTTTATGAGGTCTTTGATTATGACTCCATTGATTCCATGAAATTAAATATTCTTTATCATTATATTTATACCTCATTAGCTTATTTTGGCTTTCATATTCATTTAATAATTCACAATCTTCATTTTTAAATTGAAGTTTAACCCATTCAGGATTTAAACAATGTTTAATTAATCGCGGAATATCTGACATCATCTATATATAGTTTCTTTTATAAAAGATAAAAAAATAAATTATTTTAAAATTAGTGTTAATTTTTTAATGATTTATAAATAAATATATTTTAATGCATCGTCTATATATAGATGTAACAAAAAAAGTCACACAACCCGCACTCATCTACTACTATGAGAGCTGGAAAAAAACAAAAATTAGTTGCATTTAGTGATATATAAGAATTTTGTATGCTTTGGTCATATATTGCACAAATTTATATGCATATTTAAGGAAATGAAAGAATATTGTTTTATTGTGTTTGTTCATGATGTGATAGATTCTATTGTCTATTTTGTTTTGATGAAGAATCTTTCATAAGTCAAAGATAAAGAAAGAAGAATCGTCGATTTTAGAAAAAGCAATTGATGAATGTTCTTTAGAGAAAAATTCTTTAAAGTGGTATAGCAATTTGTAAATCAGCAAATCAGTAAGTAAAATCTCTTCTCTATCTTCATTACAATTGAAAAGGTCTGTTTGTGCGTTATTTATTTTTCAACAGAATGGGTCTTCTTCGCCTTCTTCAGCAGATGCGCCGCTCTGCAAACGAGAGCCGTATTCTTCTTCTTGGTCTTGACAATGCAGGCAAGACAACCATCCTCCGCAATCTTTGCAACGAAGATCCAACGTCAACATCACAACACGCGGTTTCAACGTCAAAACGATTCAATCGAAGGCTTCAAATTCAATGTTTGGGACATTGGTGGTCAGAAAGCCATCCGTCAGTACTGGGATAACTACTACGAGAACAGTGATGCTCTTGTCTGGGTTGTTGACTCCTGCGACGAAGCTCGTCTTGAGGAGACAGGCACAGAGCTTACATCACTTCTTTCAAACGAGAACCTTAAAGGTGTTCCAGTTCTTATCTTTTGCAAACAAGCAAGATCTTGCATCAGCCTTCCACCAGATCAGATCACAATTTCTCTTGAACTTCACAACATCCGCGACCGTCAGTGGCAAATTCAAGGTTGCTCAGCCATTAAGGGAGACGGTCTTGACGACGGACTTAAATGGCTCGTTCAGACAATGAAATAAATCATGATTATATATATATCTTAAGATTTCGATAATTAATACTTTTTTTTTAATTTTCCATTATATTTTGATCGATCAATTCTCCTGCATTGAGGGTAGACTATATCTTACACTTTTCTATTGAACTGTTTGACTTTCTGACAATTTTCGATATTTTTTTTTAAATAAAATTGTTGAATATGACTTGAAAGAACTGCCACAATATTTTTCTGCAAATGCATTTCGATGTGCAGGATATGGATTTGCCAAGCATTCAATTTCAAAGTCTTAAATCAATTCAAAGAATTCTTGAAAACAATTACGTCCATATCTCAATTCTCCAGTTCATTGACCGATCAATTTCTTTGTTACAGTCTTACGATAGATTCAAGCAGTCGCAGCAACAATTTGCTGATAAATGCTTGGTGCACACTTAGGACCCTGCAGATTCGTTGTTTTAATAACGAAACAAATTTTGATCGCAATGTTAGATGGGATTGGTGAATCAGATGAAAACAACAAAAACGACAAACCACAACAAAAAGGAGGCCAAGATGGAGTTGGTTTAGGTGACAACTCAAGTGATGAAATTTAAAAGCGAACAAGAAGGCGATTCGAATCTGACACAGCTCAATTGGATGAAGAGCCAGAGAAGATGGAATTCCAAGCGAGGATGACAGAATGTTTATATGAAATCCAGAAGGAGAAGAAGCCGACATGAAAATTGTTGAAGAAAGACCTCCTGACATCAAATAAGAACCTGATTTGTTCGAAGGAAAATGCTGAAGAATAAGACAACAATGAACAAGAAGATATCGAAGGATGTGGAAAAGGAGAATACAAAGCAAACGAAAAGGGAGAAGAAACGAAAGACGAAGAGAAAATACAAGAAAAGTAAATGGAAGATATCGAGAAACAACTTGAAATTGTACAGAATGAGATCTTAGAAGAAGACGAAGGAGGACAAATAGATGAAGATGGAACAAAAGAAACCAAAGAAATTCCAGATAGACCCGAAGAATATAAACAAGAAACAGACGAAAACAAACCAGTTCCTGGTGATCAAGAAGGGGAATTCATTGAGCCAACAGGAAAACTACTACAATGTCGAAAGGACTTCAATGAATTTCAAATCTGTTGAAGGAGAAAAAATCATCGCAATCGATGGAACAATAACTGATGAATCAAGAGCGAAATGAATCAGCGAAATCAATGATACGCATAATTCTGCAGCCGAACTCTACGAACAACTTCGATTAGTACTTATTTTTGACTTTCAAATTATCATTTATCTTATGGATACAGATAATGAATGAATCAATACTGAAGTTTCTTCTATCATTGCATCGCTATTTATGTTTTTCAAATGTTAGAAAATATCAATATAACTGTTATTTTCCTTTTAATCTCTATGAGATCTTTATCGTTTTGTTCTATGGATAAAAAAATCCTTTTATATCATTGAGATCTTTCAATTGTTTGAAACAGAATCATCACTAACAAACCTCAGTTAAAGATATATCATTAGAATGGCATGAGCATTTATGGGTGCAGCACGCCAGTATTATTCCACAAATCTGATCAATTTTGAAGCATGTTGTAAATGAGTGATATTAATTCTTTGTTTCATGTTATTTCAATATTTCAAATTTATTCTGATTTTTTATTATCCTAGCTTATCTTGTCACATTTCTTTTGACATTTTGACATTTGAGATTTCGATTTACAAATTCGAAAAATAAAAACAACACTAAATTTCCATATATATTTTCGAATATACAGGATATTTGAAAAATGGATGTCACTTTTTCACGGTTTTCAGTATCAGCAATGATTGCTTTGTTTTTAACAACATTTGCTGGTGCTGCCCAGGATTGGGGTGATACGCCAACTCCATGGAGATGGACTCCATCACCATCTTGGGATAAAACAGCACCACCTAAAAAGAAATGGCCAACAGAATCACCAACATGGCCTGCAACTAAAACAAGACAGCCAAAAACGCCAAATCCAACACAAGAACCTCCAAAACCAGACACACCAGCACCAACAGAGACAGCAACAACAACAACGACAACTAAAATAATAGATACACCTTCTCCATCTGCAAACGCACAAACTCCAGATGCTACAATGACTCCTAAACCAGATGACCAGAAGAGCGGATGGGCAAAGCACCAGACAATGTATATCTCATTAATCGCTGTTGGAGCAGTCATAATCATTGCAATTATTTTCGTGGTTGTTATTCTCTCAGTTAAGAAGAGAAAGGACGATCAATCTACCACTCTTAACGAGCCAATCCTCGGCGAAAAGGAATTGATTTAATTCTAATTAATTCTTTTAATAGTTTTGATATTTTTATTGATATGCTTATAAAAGTTAGGACTTTAAACAAAATATTATTTATAGTTTGAACATAAGAAAAAATTTTTCGAAAAATAGAGGGTGTTTAGTATACTCAACCCCCTCATTAATTATAGTTTATAGAGGAATAGTAACAGAGGCCTTTTTCAGGTATCCTTTAAGAAGTTTCCGAAAGAGTTTATGCTAATATAACCTCATTTCTAGGTAAATAGGGGACATTGTTCAACTAAAAGTTTAGTTGCATACTGGCCTCGTTTCCTAAGAAACTTAATCAAGTATTTTACTTTCGATGTAAACCTTTCATGCATTTTTCCAATTCTGCATATATATAAAAGGTTTCCTTCTATAATATAAGAAGGATCCTTAAGAAAATTTTAGGAATTATCTTATAAATAAATTTTTTTTTATTGTTATAACCGACAACATTATAATAAAAACAAAAATAATATATTAGTAGTTTTCATTTGAATGCAACAATGGCTGGTCATCACCAGATCCCTTGTTTCCACCAAATTTTGGAAAATTGAAATATTTCATTGAAATAAATGCAGCAACAATAATAATTACAGCTGCAATTATGTAGAATGCTGTGAGATTAATTTCTTTGTGTGTACTTATGATCTGGAATTGAAAATCTTGTTTTGACCATGTAGCGTTGTCGTAAGAAAGATATATTTGTACTAATTCTTTCTTAGAAGTAATCTTAAACTTTGGAACTTTGCATTGAACAAGATTCTGGGTCAATACAATTCCGGGCGAAATTGTATTGTTAAACTTGCAAGATATATCGGATAATGTAAACTTAGCCAAAGATTTAAGCGAAATGTTAATACTTGTTGAAATTGGACCAGATGGAGGGAAATAACTTTCAACATAAGGGATAGCACGTGCACAGCCTTGCAAAATTCCAATGAAATAAAATCCTTTTTTGCATTTGCAAACTCCAGGATAATCGCAAATCATGTTTGCAGAGCAATGTGGATGACAAATCCAACAGCCACGTTCTGACATTGGCTCATCATGGAAATAATTTTGGTTACAGATGCAAGTACCATTTGGTCCAAGAGTTTCTGATATTGGATTACATTTTCCGATATTAATATTTCCAGAAGTGAAAACTGTGCTGTTTTTATATGTAATCTTTGTAAAATTGAATTTCGAAACGGATGGTCCAGTTAGGTTTCCATCTATTGAATGCGCTAGCCTTGAAAAAAGGAAAACAGCATTTCTAGAAATTGATTCCGTTTTATCGTCTTGTCCGATTATTTTTGACTGAATCTTCTAAATTTTGATTGAACACATAAGAAATCATGGTAGAACAGCCCGACTTTTCGATGTGGTTAAGATGCAGATAGTATGGACAAATATAAATGTGCTTATATTCGTGCGACATTTCAAGGAGATTTGAATTAACAGTTTTTGAGATTTGAAATTTTGGATTGTAACATACTGATTTTCTGGCACATAATTTACTTTTTGAATATGCCTATATGATTGCAAGAGTCCTTTGTCAAAAGAATGAGTTATATTTTAATTTCGAATTAACTTTGGGTTTTTTCTCCAAAATGTGAAAAACAAACAATAACATATATTTATCTTGATCTTTAAAATACTTATCTGATAATCATTAAAGCTGGATTTCAATAGATAATCACTTAGAGCTGTTTAAAATACCTCATATTAAGTCAGTATTTTTAAATTTTTACCAATAATTTTTAATTTTGGCAATGGATACTTACTATATTGTGGATGTATATTTGATGTGCCAACTATTGCATGAAAGTTATTATTATTAAAAATTATATTCAATGTCCTGCTCAGTAAATATATGTCTTTGAGATATAAAATGTATTTACTGTTTAAATTTTGAATATTACATAGCTTTTTAGAAAATATTCTTTTAGTGTCATTAGATACCATGAATGTTTTGGGACAACACACCTTAGTGAGAGTTTATGTAGTTTGATGTGTATTCACAACAGTGAAAAACATCACTATTCATATCTTTGAAGAAACGATTGAGATGATTTTTGATTATCCTCATAGTATTGTCGCCCATCATTGAAACATGCAACATGAAGAACGTATTTTGGCACAATATTCTATTAGAAATAGTTATATTTATAAGATACGAATTAGAATTGAAACAAAAATATATTGTATGGATTTCAAAAATATAAAATCCAAGTAATACAATCTAGTGGATTATGTTAATACATTTATTCTGCTCAAATTCTTGAAGGGATTAAAAAAAAATTGAAAAAATAAAAATCTTGAACAAAAATACAAAATTCATAGGAAAAATGAAAGCTATTTTTTTTTTGAAATTATAAAGAGATGATTTATAATTGATTTAAAATGAGAAATGTTTGCATTTTTGTATAAAAATCAAGAGCAAAAATTGATAAATATTTGGTTCAAAAGCTAAAATGAAATATATAGTATGCAAATGATCACATTACTATCGAGTTATCACATATATTAAACTTTTTGAACTAGTTTAGTTAATATTGGAGATTGTAAAACAATGTTTTTTTTTCTATTTGATTGCGAAGCTCCTTAATCCAGAGGTGTTTGCCCAGAAAATGCACTATGATACAGGGAATATGACTTACATGGTGCTGGTCAAAAGCGTTGCAATCAAATTATGATTGCATAGTTTCCTTCATTTAGAGATGCTTGCACAGACAATATGTCTCAGATGCAAGCAATTAATACAAATGAACCTTAATGAAACTTTTTAAAAGTACAAGTTCATTGACGTATAAGGTCGGGTTGAAAACTCGTACATGCCTCAAAAAATTGAATACTTTTCAATAGACTTTCTCAATCCTATCGTCAAAAATATGTCATTCTATCGTTCACTTTACAAAACCTATCGTTCACTTTACACAACCTATCGTTGAAAAATCTGTCATTCCTCTCAATTTTTGAGGCATGTACGAGTTTTTTGAAGCCCCCATTTTTCAACCCAACCTTAATCAACTCATATGCCTAAAAATGAAAAGGTAATTGGTCAAATTTACTAAGCCACATGAAATTTTTGCTTTTGCATATCAAAATTACCAACTTTGATAATTTTCGTGTTGTAAACGCTCTTTGAATTTTTTGAAAGAGACGGGTTATAGTTTTACTCACTCGATATATTTTCCCCGAAGCCCACATTTGTATCAACAATAGAAAACCATATTATGGGCTATCAAATAAAAAAAACTGTCTAACTACTCTAACCAACTTAAGATTTTTTTATGCAAAGTAAACCTTTTGAAAAATTCAACCAATTAATTAGTGTTTTTATATAAAAATCAATTTGCAATATATACGTTTCTTGCGTACGACCAATTTTGCATCACTTCACATTTTAAAACATTATTCTGAAATATCGAACCAATACTGACAAACCGTTTTATAGTTTTAACTACCAATACAAATGAAAATCATTTAATGTCATAAAATATATAAAGAATTCCCAAAACAAACCTCAATAATTAACAAAAATCATTTCAAATCATTTCTCTTTCAATTTTTGAAAATCGACCAAAAAGCAATATCTATTTATATTTGATATATATTAGTAAAAAAAAATGTTCATAATATTTTGCAATCAAGAATTTTGAATGATTATTCAATTTGAAACTATGCAAGTTATTAGAAGATATAGCTTGAACGTTTTAATGTCGGAATTTAAATTCCTAAAATCATCAAACAATATTCAAAAATATTTGATTAAAATAAATCTACACATAAATGTGAGTAATCATGGCTAAAAATCATCGTTTTTTCCCTTTACAAAACTTGTCAATTGTATGTAATGAAATTTTTAATTCTATAGGAGAAATATAATTTGAACCATCGACGTAAACTATTGAAACGTTTCATCTTAAATTAAATATGCTCTATCAAAAAAAATTGAAATTGACTAACTCCAATTTTTCATCAGTTCAAATAATGTTCAAATTCATTGGTAAACTTAACTCAAAGAGACAATCGAATGTGGCTTATGCGCATAGCATAGACTTCTTTGTTAAATGCAAGCAAAGTTGTTTCTCAAAGAAGGCGGAGTTCAACCAACCATGTCCGTTGCCGATTGGCTTAGATCCGATAAGGTCAGCTTTTTGGTACAAAAATCAGTTGCGGTGAAGGTGGCTGCGGCGCTTGCACAGTTTGTTATTTCCTCACTATGATCCAATTACAGGAAACTGTAAAGCATCGTCCAGTCAACTCTTGCCCTTACACCAGTTGCCCAGCTTCACCCACTGCTCAATGAAACAGTTGAAGCCTCTTGGCTAACCTTCGTGAAGGTTTACATCCAGTTCAAGCTGCTATTTGTCAAGACACGCACGGCCAACACAATGCGGACTATTGCACAACCAAGGTTTTGTTTTATGAATGGGTTACGCCCCATGCTCCTCGACACCCACATCCAACAGGTTCTGAAATCGAAGAACAATTTTGATGGAAACCTTTGCCGTTGCACACAGGTATCGTTCAATTGCTGATTGCTTTCCCGTGAATTCTCAGATGTTGCTTCCATCCGATGACATCCTTGTTTCACCAGAGCAACAAAAGATCAAACAAACCTCAGGATCCATTCGTCCCAGACTACGCCAAGAAGCCCAATTGATGAAGGCCAGTCCTCATCAACTACGGCAACGTCAAGTTCTTCATCCCCAGCTACAGTTGAACAGTTAGTTCAACTCCAAAGCTGAGTAAATCCAGCAGCCAAGATCGTCCCCGCTGGTTCCTCAGAAGTTGGTATTCGAAGTTCGCCAGAACGTACCACAAGAGGCTGTTTTCATCTCATCTGCTCACTTACCAGAACTTATCACCCTTAATTTGAAGACGACAAGCTTACATTTGGCGCCTCCACATGCTTCAGACATCATGATGTTCTGGGACACAAGCTTAAGGAAGACCTCCCAGCTGAAGAAGAAGCGCAACTTCTTAAGCACTTCATGAGCGTCTACGCTACCTTCGCTTCTACAAACAAATCGTAACACAGCCCACAGTTACAGGCAACCTTGCCCACGGTGGTGCCTGTTACTGATCTTTCCCACTTCCTTCTTGCTACAGATGCAAAATTTACCACGTCAGAACCGCCAAGAAGGGTATCGATGAGCGAGTCACAATTGAGAAGTTTTCACAGCTTTACAGAAAGACAAAGCTTGATCCATCAGATGTCATCACACGCTTCGGAAATCTCACTCATGAAGAAACGAGTACGTCGGCCAGTTCAAGCAAGCTCACCGCCGTGACGATGATATTCGCATCGTTTCTGCTTCCATGAAGTCACTCTTGGTGGCTGATGATGTTATCGAGACATCAAGTCGCCTACTCTGGCAATGGCTGCCTTCCACCAGCGCGCTTACCAGACAGAAAACTTCCTCAAGGGCAAGAAGTTCGACGACTCCACAATTCAGGCTGCATACCATACATCCACAAGGACTTACCACTCGGATGACTACGCACCAGGTGGCTTCGTTCCATTCTCGCCGCGACCTGCTGAGTCCTTCCTCTTCAATGTCCCTACTCCATATTCATACGAAATCGATCATTTAGAATATTCAAGAGGAAACGTTACTTATTTATTTGCCATTAACATTAACACCAGATATTTATATTGCATTCCAGTGAAAGGGAAAACAGAACAGGAAACAAGAAGAGCTATTCAATACTTACTAGATCATGAAAGAGTAGATAATATCAGGGGTGATGGTGATAAAGGATTTCAGGCAGCTATGGCTCATTATTTCCCACAAATTAATTTTTACTTTTCATCCTCTCCATATACGTTTCATAATAAAATAGTTGATGTGGTAATGAGAACTCTTAGAGATGCGTTAGGGGTTAATGGTCAGATATACTGGGATGGAAATCATGACTCCATCATACAGCAGTTAGTATATTATTACAATAATACATGGCATAGAACTATAAACATGAAACCAGTGGAAATGAAAAATGATATTTCAAAAGAATGGGAATATATTAGAAAGCAAATGGAAAGGTTA